CCACTTTATTATCGCTTTCTGGCCCACATGTGATAACGTCCTATGAGAGAAAACACTTCTAGAATCTATAGGAATTTGTAGGTCCTTCATTGCAATTCTGTGGTCAATATCTGCTAGATGTTGGCCATAGAGTAGCACTGGAAGACCTAGAAATTCATAGATATGTGATGTCTCAATTTTTTTTTAAAAAAAGTGTTTTTTATTCATGTTTTTTTTTTCACTTTCACAGGGGTCTGCACCTCTAACCCCAGCAAATGTAGAGAGTCCACTGTAGTTGAATACAAGGAGGGTGAAATAACTGGGACAATAATGTATGTGAGAGTGTGTGTGTTTAATCTCTAGTTTACAAACTTCCCTGCAAGTATAATAACCTGTTTATAACCTAAAGTAATTTTGAAAGTGTTGCAATGGAAACAACAATGTAACAAATTCAGTAAATGAATGAATGAATGAAGCAAACCTAGAAAAATCTTTTCTGCATCAACAGAGATTCAGCATTGCCAGCCTTGACTCCATGATCTCCAAAAGCAATTCATATTTCCTTGGTGATGTAAACAATGAGGTTTCGGCTAGACCTTTCTCATGCCAAATGTATGATTTAACACTGCAGTTAAAGACAGGGTTAAACTGTTTCCCAGCAAGTAAACATCCAGTTTTATACAATCCCACTAATTACATTTTTCAAACTCTCTGTAATTTAAAAGAAATCCAAAGCAATTAAATATAAAATGGCACATAGTACCAGCATGCATGATTCAACCTGCAAAACCCCATTATGGGAAGGCTGTGTCTTCTAACTAATTTCTATCCTGTACAGGAGAAGTATGCTGGAAAGTCTACCTTGGTGCTGAAAGGAAATGTTCCAGCATCTCTCTTGTAAATGTTTAATGACATTCGCTTAGCAATAGAGTCAGATTTCATCTATCCCACCTCCAATGGCAATGCCAGACCATTGCAAACACAGATGGGCTGGACTAGTATTGCCAGATATAGCTGGGAAATGAGTATACATGCCATGACAACAGGAGAGAGTAATATACAAGAGAGTTGGCTACTGACCATGTTTTTTTGTTAAAACAAAACAAAACACTAGCCTGACTTGCCCTTGTCAGTGGTGGTTCCTATGTTTGTAGAATGGTGGATCTTCTCCAATTTATAGTCCGAACTTGAATCTATCTATTTACCTACCTACCTACCTACCTACCACCTTTTTCCTGGTTTGGGACTCAAGGCAGTTTGCAACAATTAAAAAAGACATAGCTAAAATAATTATACCTTTTATAAGTTAGAATTATATAAGTTAAAAATATCATTAACCTATCCATAAAAGTAAAACCAATTCAAAAACAACTATTAAAAATGAAAACAGATAAACAGTACAGCACAATTCTGCAAGGTCCAGTCCCCTTGAGCTGTCAGTCTTCAAAGGGCTCCTGAAATTAAAAATAGTCACCTGAGACTCCTGTGTTCCCATCAGATGTACCAATGAAGATGGTGGGACAGAGACAGGGGCCTTCCCAGAAGATCTCAAAACACAGGCATAATCATATGCAGTCCTTCAGGTAACCTGTCCTGTTGTTGTGTGCCTTCATGTCATTTCTGATTTATAGGACCCTAAGCTGAGAGCTAGTGTGGACTTGCCCAAGAACACCCAGTGGGTTTTCATGACCATGCAGGGATTTGATCCTTGGTCTCCAGAGTCATAGTCCAGTGCTCAAACCACTATACCATGCTAGCTTTCCTAGCAATATAGGGTTTTAAAGGTCATAACAAGCACTTTGGATTGTATCCAAAAACAGACCCATAGCCAATGGAGCTGTTGCAGCAAGGGAGTTGTGTGCTCCCTATATTCAGTCCCAGCTAACAATCTGGTTGCAGCTCTTTGGACCAACTGAAGTTTCCAAATGCTCTTGGAAGGCAGCCCCACATAGAGCTCATTACAGTAATTGAAACAGGGTGTAATGATGTGTGTCACCATGGGCAGATCCAGCATCTATAGGTATAGGCATAGCTTTAACATTGCAAAGACATACTTGGCCATTGCTGAGACCTGAGCTTCTAGGCTTGGGGCTGAATCCAGGAATGCACCCAAGCTGCAAACCTGCATCTTCAGCTATCTAAGGTGCGAAACCTGTATTGGGAAATGGGTTTAGGATAGTTCCTTCAACATTTGGGTTACAACCCAGAGCAATTGGCCTTCATGCTGACAGGGAATACCCCAACTGCTACTGCCTCTTATGCCTCCAGCAGTATCCCAAGCACAGTCCAAAGACTGATTTCTACACAGCCAATAGCAGGTGCCAACAGCTA